TTAAATGGCTATCCGTAAATGCAAAAATGTACAGGGTGTTTGATGTCAAATCCGTAAACCATCAACCCTCCCGGCAAACGATATATTTTCTCGAAGAAAAACCAAAAAACAGTCAATTCCATGAGATATATCTCGCTCACTTCCTGCTACTCCAATAAATGCAATAACTCTTTTTTACCTCCGTGCCTTCAGCGGCTTTAATCAAGCAATATGAGGTACCTTGCGAAAAAGTTTCAGGTAATGTTGAGGCTGCGTTTATAAAAAAAATATATGTCAATAATTGAAAATAACGCAGACATAAAATCCTAAAAAATATTTCATGGGCAATTTTAATATTTCGCTAATTGTTAATAATTCTATTTAGCTTCGCAAATAAATAAATAAATTAATGAATAAATAAATAATTTCGTATTTATACAAATAAAACTTGGAAGTTTCTCAATTTTTAAACATGTGACAATATACTTTTCTGAAATGTTCAAAAACATTTAGTCATCAATTGCTTTTATAACTGCCAGGAATATTTTGTAAATTTACGTATTGTATGCTGTGCAAGGGTAACTTTTTTAATTTGGAAAATTTTTATTATTGGGATTAAAAAATGAGAAAGGCAATTTTTTCTTCTTCTGTAATTACTTAATTTTTACGATTATGATACATAAAATAAGTTTTTTTCAAATTAATTCATCAGTATAACTACAAGGATATTTTTGTAGTGATTGCAGATTTATTTACTTTTGTTTTTAATTTGATATATCGAGAATAAATAGAGGTAAGTGTTCAGAAAGTTCAAAACTAATATTCTGTTATTTTACTTTATTTATTTTATTAAATAACGTAATTCCCGTATACATATGATGGGATCCCCAGGCTCTTAACAATTTATATTTATAACGATTGATTGATAATGATGGCTTTTTTGATATTTTATTTTTATTCATAAAATTAAATATAAAATGGAAACACTTCTGAAACGAGTTTTTTGAGACACCCTGTATAATAAGTGATATCGATTTCGCACAGTAGACGACAACCCTTACGGCAAGTTTTAACCTATATTAAGTGGCTATCAAATATTTTAAAAATATTAGTTACTTTTTGTTGCGATAATAATAAAAATAATACTTTTATACAATTTTAAAAGTACAAACTACAAACTTAATTTATCTGCTTCTAGATATTTCTTTTCAAATCCCGTTTAATGTACCTGATTTTTTTAAATTAATTGATTCAGTACCGAAGTTTGAAAAATGATTTTAATACATTGTAAAGGTTAAAGAGTGTGTTTTTTTGAAATAATTTATTTGAAACCAGGTTGAAATTCCTTTTGCTAAACATTTTATCTTTTTAAATCAATCAAACTATATAAAGAGCCATATAGAGTATTCCTCTGCAGAGCCGTATTGGTAGTCCAATATGACAGACTTCTTAATAAAACCGTCGAAAGTTTCCGAAAGCGCGGACTTATTAAAAATGTACGAAGCTGTCTTAAACAAGAAATTAACTAATCGTTTAAAAAAAAAGTGGCAATAAAACGAAAAGGATAATTCCGGTCGTAAAATTACGCTTTTGTTCTTTTATGGTGATTACAACAAGACCAGATTTGTTAATTGTTAATTTCTACCGGCAGCGTGTGTCGTATTTGAGTACATGTTTTATTTTCGGAGATAATCAATGCATTTTTTAAAATTTTATTTTTTTTAGTCATTGGTTTAATCAACTAAAGCTTATTTGCTTGTATAATGTTAAGACTGCATTAAGATCTTATCAAAGTATTCAGTCTAGTCCATCTAGTAATTTTATGGATAATGTCAATTTCGACGGGCCAAGGCAAAAGTGTAAAAAAAACTTTATTAACCTTTAAATTTTTCATTTGACTTAAATTATCTCCACGTTTAGCACATTTTGAACAAAGGATCACCCCCTTAAATTTTTCGCAATTGTTTTGAAACACCCTGTACAACTTTGCTGGTTGCTTGATGTTCTGTGGATATTTGCTTAAAAAAGAAAAAATAAGGAAAAAATAAGTCGTTTAAAAACTATTACTTATAAATAAGGAGGGAAGGAAATTTAAATTGCATGAAAATGCAAAAATGCATTTTATTGTGTGCCTTGTTTTGATAAGTGAAAACTATCTTCCATACGTCGTGGATAAAGAGCTATCGAGAGTTCACTTGAAAGTTTCTTAACATATTAAAAGAATTTGTAAAAATTTTCTAAACAATTATTTTATATTATAAAATACGTATTCAAGGAAATTACTGGTAGTAAATGTTAGCAATTTTTATATATTTACAAAAGTTGTCTAATAAAATATATTTTTGGTAAAAGTAGGAATAATTTTTTTTAATTCTTTTTTGTAAAGAATATAAGAATAAAACTATCTAAGATCTAAGCAGGTCATTAAAAAAAAAGTATTATTCTCTTGTACCTATATCACTCACGAAATTGGAGGCCACCTCTGCTTCCTTGACAGATTCAACAGAATTCAACAAAATTTTAGGTATCGCTGGGGCTGAGGTCATAAATAAATTGAAAATAACATAGGAAACATTTCAGAAGTTTTTACAGGAAATTTCACCAATTTCGAAGTTGAATTGGATTTGTATTGTATGTGCATGTTGCTATTCTTAATTGTATTCCAATATTTCTTTATAATCGCAATTAATATTTTAATTAAAATTAAATTAAATTAATTAAAATTATTTACTTTTTTTTTGCTTTATTTATATTTATCCAAATAGGTGTGTGGAATAGGTAAAAAATTATGGTTTTTTCTGAACAACGCGTTTAAGAAGCTTTAAAAAAAAACCTGTCTATTTAATAATAGTGGAGAATTGAAAAAAAGGAACCGTACAGTCAATAGTGATCGGGACCTAAAATATTGTCTTTATCAAAGCGAAGTCATTCCTTAATAAAAGTGAAAAAGAAAATGGAAGAAGATGAACCCATTATAAATATAAGCTGTGTCACCCTCTATTGTAAAATGGAATTTAAGTACCACAAAATAGACAAACAACAAGTAGTAATGGAATCAAGCAGATTACGTACTTGGAGACTTAATGACCTTCATGAAATTAAAAGATATAAATTAGATAACAGATCCATAATTGACCTTAATGGAACATGGGTCGATAGACATGACACTGCATCAAAATGATGGGTTGATGCCACTCAAAACTGTTGCATAAATCAGAAATAAGCTGTAGATGTTTAGCGAAGTTTTGGTTAGGTTTTGTTAGTTTTCAACATATGTTTGCAGATAAGAAAACATGTTTTTTTTTTTTGAAAATTTTGAGAAAACAACAATCGTTTTTATAATTGCGCAGAATGGTTTTTGTTACTTTACGAATTTTATGTTGTGCAAGTTTCTATTGGTTTGTTGAAGTGTTAACATTTCTGTAATTTTATTTTATTGGCAAATAATACTTTCTCACCGTAAGATTTTGTGAGTGAGTACGTGAATCTGTGAATAAAAAGCTCTAATTAAGATTCATTTTTGTTTTATTTATATATATTCAAATAGGTCAAATAGGAAAAGGTTATAGATAATAATAATAGTGGTGATTGATATGCGTAACATACGAGGTGCGTTCAAAAAGTTGGGGGACTTTTGTAATTAATTACGTGGGCTACGTACACTCGATCTTCGATTTTTTTTGTTATGTTGTTACACATGTGCCTAATACGTGTTCACAGTTTCAGCCAGATTACACGTTTACTTTTTTTTTGCGACAAAAGGATTAGATTTGTTTTGTATGGTCGGTCATTTTCAGCTCTCCAAAAACATGGAAAAAAGATTTTACATAAAATTTGGGGGATTACTTTGAATTATTTGAATAAATAAATACTATCGAAATATATCTCTAACTACATTGCTTATAAAGAAATAAAGAATGTTGTTACATGTTACAAGTCATATATGTATAAATTTATGATTATGTTATTTCCAATCATATTGTCACAAACAGTCAATCTGGATTTAGCGAAGGTTTTAGTACTATTAGTCTACTTTTACACATAATTAGTTTTTTAGATAATGGTCTTGCGACTGCACTTATATTTTTAGATTACTCTAAAGCCTTTGATCGGCTTGACCATAAACTTATGTACGCCAAATTGCGTTACTACGGCTTCGATGATGCTTCGACTCGATTTTTTGAAAACTACTTAGGTAACAGATATCAGAGAGTTACCCTTGACAATGTAAGTTCTGAAATTCTCCCTGTTCCATCAGGTGTTCTGTCCTTGGACCTATATTATTCTTAATTTATATTTCTGATATTTATACATCCATCGAATATTTGAGTTTGCAATTTATATCAATTTGGATTTGCATAACTTATTTCTATATTCTTCTAGACATAATCTTCAACTTAATGCTAAAAAATGCAGTGTAATGTTGTAAATGAATGTTTAAAAATTGTGAATTGTAATAAAAACTTTGGTGTTATATTTGATTGTAGGCTTAGATTCGTGGAATATGTATCTTTGTTGGTGAAAAAGCCTTATTTGGTTTTGCGCCATTTATGCACAGAATTTCGCCTTTTCTCTACTGGATATTTGTATATAACAATATACAGCAATAAAGGCAATTTATTATTATTACTATTATTATTACTATTATATTACTTCTTGATAAAACTTAAAAGCCACCTTTTTGAAATCACCTCGTACACAATACACGATATACAATGACAACACCTCAGAGGGGGCGAAGCCTAGCTGACCAAGTTCTTAATTTTTTACTGCTTTCGCTGAACATTTTTCCTATTTTTTCAGATCTCTACTTAAAGATTACTTCTTGTAAATGACACAGCGTTTTAAACAATACTAATAAAGACGAAAATAGTTAAAAAGACGGCAAATAAGGTCGAAAATCCGCAGTCTAAATTAAGGAACGCGAAATTCTGGATTCCAGTTACACCGCGATAAGTGCAATCGGGGGTTCGTTTGCGAATTAGGGACGTCGGAAGGGAATTTTATCGGGTCCGACATACCTGCAGTTTGGCCGGATTCGCACGTAATTTTTCAAATCCATTCTTCGTTTTTTCGTATCGTCGGAATCGTCGCACTCTTAACGACTACCCGATGTTGCGTAAACGGTCTAAACGGGCCGTGGAAGTGAAACCCCGCGTACGGACGCCGTCGCCGTCGAGGTGGCCAACGACCACCTAGAAAGTGAGCCCCGGGTGCGTATATAAGCCGACGACGGAGATCCAAGGCACGCAAAGTGTTCCACGTCTTCTCGCAACTAACATGAAGGCCCTGGTAAGTCCCGGGGGGGTCGAAATCGGACTCGCGGGGGTGCCTAAAGTGTTTTAAGTGACTCGTGAAGCAGTGCGGGCAGTGAAAGCCGCGATTTAATTCTTCTTCTTGTTCGCGATAAAATTTTCCATTGCTTCCTTATACCTCGCGGTCCATATTAAGGATATGGTATGCCTTGTGGTCCTGTCCACTACCTGATGTTTCGCAGCCGAGCCATTTTTTTTCCTTTCGCTTCCTCACTTTCCTTCAGTTTGACCTTCGATCGGTATTCGTTGTTTCGCAGGGTGTGCCCTGGATACGCCGTTTTTCTCTCCCTAATTGTTAGAAATAGTTCGCGTTCTTCGCCGACGCGTCTTAGAATTTCTTCGTTTGTCAATCTAGCAGTCCAAGACACCTTAACGATCCTGCGATGCAGCCACATTGTTAATTACAGTCGTCCTCAATGTCCAGCCTTCCTTGCCTTAAAGAAGCACTGTCCAAACGTAGCACTTCACGAACCTCAGTCGTAGGTTAAGTAAGCACTCTCCGAAACCTCAAGAATGCCTGTCGGGCTTCTTCAATGTGACATTTTATTTCTTTGTCCGATGCCCAGTCTTCCAGGAGCCACACAGTAGGCCAGGGAAACCCTCAGTGTAATTCCAATAAATTGTACTTAACAATAAAAGGAAAAAATTTTTACGAACGTCAAAATTTAATACAATATAATTATTATACAGGGTGTTTACAAACAATCTCTATATTTACAAACAGTTTTTAAATAAATCATGAAGACGGGTTAATAACACTACACAAAATGGAGAAACATTTTGAAATAATTAGTTTTAAGTAAATTAAAAAAAATACGGGGTGTCCCAAAAGTAACAATTTTTTGCATTAGTCACACCTCTAGAAAAGTTAAACCATTGCTTTGCAATAAGAGCGTTCATTTAACGTTTTGATTTATAGTTAGTCTTAGTGACAACCTATATTAAACAAAAGTTCTTTAACTATTGAAATGTCAAAAATAATAACAGTGTCTTACATGAATAAAAACTTAAGTTACACTATCGCTTTATAAAAAAAAAGAAAACAAATTAAAACATTAATAGGTCAAAACTTATACCGAAAAAGATTTTTCTCCTTTTTTTTTACTCACCCGGTAAATTCTTTAAAATTATTTTTATAAAATTGAGCAGGTGGGAACAAGATTGTTTCCTACACGTAACACCACAACTTGTTACTTTAATACGTAGTACCAACAGCATTAATAATCCCTTTTGGACTAATTGACTTAGCATTAAATTAGTCTCAAAACTTATCTTTACTGGCTTCCTGCATTTTAAATTTTGTCAAAAGCTAATTTCTTTAAAAAAATCATTCAACATTCACAAAATGACACTGACAACAAAAATTACAAAATTATTGTTGACGTTTTCATAATAACAAGACGACTTAAATCACTTGTTTTTTAAAAGTTCGGGGGCTACTTAATTAGTCTGTGATAAGGAAAACGGCCAGACTCCCAGATATTTGAATTTATCCACCCTCTCTAAGGGCATTGCTTTAAATGTTATGCAGGCGTTTTCAACCAGTTGTTGTAGGTCGTGCATATTATCAGCGATCGGGACGGTATCGTCCGCATAAGGGATATTGATAATCCACTTTGATTCGCATTTCCAGTCCTTCAGGGCCTCTTGGAAAATTGCTCCGGAATATAAGTTGAATAAAAGTGAAGACAGCACTCATCCTTATTTGCTTCCATTATAGGTTTTCAATGCATCGGATGTCTTTCCGATCTATATCGAGCTGGATTAGTTTGTGGTACAGAGCAACATTAGCAGTTCTGATTGATTGCTTTCGAATTGCGTTGACGATCCGATACAAACGGACGGTTATAATTTCTCCTGGTTGCGTAATACCGGTTTTCGTATGCGGGAAAGTAAAAGCGATTCGATGGGAGCGTTACCGTAACTCGATTATCTGGAATAGCGGGGCACTACAGCGGCGGATTTCGTCTGTTGCAGGTGGTTATAGGAGCGGTTTGCCTCTGCGCGGCTTTAGCTGCCGAAGCCGACGAGAAAAAGGAGGTTTCGGAGGAAAGCAAGAAGCAAGACAAACGCGGACTCCTCCTGGGCGACCACGGATTCGGTGGCGGCGACTTAGGCGGAGGTGGTTATCATTTTGGAGGAGGATTCGGTAAAAAAAACGCGCGTTCCAAGGGGCCTGAGCGTAATTACTGTGGTTCCTTGGAATTCTCAGCAATTTCGCACGAGTTCCCACGGAATTTCTTCGTACCGAGTGCCATACGGTTTATCTCACCGTGGTATTCCTATAACCATCCGATAAGATTGCCGCGACGGCGCGGTTTCTCGGAAAATTTCAAATGGAAAAGTTTTTTGATCGAGCGTCATCGATATACAGGGTTATTCACGGTGGGTGACCTATTAGACGATTATGGAGAATGACTTATTTTTTTTTAAGGGAACAGCCCGTATATTATTACATTTTTAGATTCTGCGAATCATTCCGGGACTGTTTTATGTACCATGTTCTATACCTATCTTGAACAATCTCGGAGATAAAGATTTGTCAAAAAACAACAAGATATAAAATAATTTTTAGGCAACCCGGAAAGCTAAACGTCCGAATTTTTGGTTGCGGTTGCCTATTAAAATATCCATAAAACCCCACGTTTCAATAAAACAACACCTATTTTATATTGGCAAGTAAATGAGCAATTAATTTGCAGTTGGTATATCTATTTTCACTGATTTTCGAGTTATAAGCAAAAAATCAAAATATTGCAATTAAAACGAATTATAATCACATTTCATTTAAGTGGCAGCCTCCTGCTGGCCATGGTGACGTTTTTTGTAAAAAAATTGTGTACAAACACAAGAATTTAATATTCATAGAAATTGTTATAAACAAAACTATTAACTAGATATTATGCTTGACATGTCCTTCGTTTCCTCGAAGACGTCCATGGACTGATTTCATAATATTGGAAACTGTTGCCATTTGAATTTCGTTTGTATCGAGTTGTTGAAAAGCCTGTCTGACACGGCGTTCCAAATTTTCTATTGATCCATCTGCTGTTTTATACACTCTTTGTTTAATAGAGCTCCGAAGGTAGGCATCAACCGGAGTAATATCTGGCACATGCGGTTGCCAATTCCACCTAGACGCCTTATCCATCGGTTTTCAAACATGATTGTAATTTCTTGACCTTACTCGATTTGTGCAATGAGCAGGAACTTGAAGAAAAAATCTGTAGCCACTGTTCGTCAAATATCCAGTTATTTTTCCTCGTTCAAATTCTCGTTGTAAATACAAAAATCTATTTTATTATCCGTCATCAGACAAAGCACGTTGAAACTAAATGTATATTGAAATCGCTTTTCTCGTACAAATTTTCGATTTTCTGATGGCCAAAAATGGTTATTCCTTCTGCTAAAAATATCCTCCCGTCGGTCCAAATAATTATTTTCAAAAAAATCTCGATCTTCTTGTAGGTATTCTAACCAATACCATCTCACATGCATGTTATGTTTTTTCAGTATTCGTTAAATGAACGAATAAAAGATATGCCTAAATGTGTAAATACGTGAAAATATGCTAAAACGTTGGTTTCATTTTCTTCTGAGTTTCTAACAGGTTTTTGGAAGTTCCCTTCTCGCCAGGTTTCGAAAATATTGTTCATTAAATCTTGTGCACGTTCTTGAAACAATTTTTTGACACTCATCATAAATGTAAAACAAATTCATAATACCTGAATCCGAATGCATCTAAATATGTCAGCTATTTTTTAAAGGAAGTGTCACCATGGCCGGCCAGAGCCTGCTACACAAATGAAATGTGATTATTTTAATTCGCTTTAATTGCAATATTTTGGTTTGTTGCTTATAACTCGAAAATTAGTAAAAATAGGTATACTGTAGTATGGTATTTTTAGATAGCAAAATAATTGCTCATTTACGTGTCAATATAAAATATGGGGAGTTCCATTAAAAATTTCGACGTAATATGGATTTTTATATCTTGTCCATTGGTCTTATGAACGCCATGTACGCGATAAGTTAATTCTCATACTATATTATGATAAAGCAATTCAATAGGGAACCACAACCAAAAATTCAGGTGTTAAGCTGTACGGGTTGTGAAAAAAATTATTATTTTATATCGGGTTGTGTGTTGCCAAATTTCTTAGAAAATATTCTTTATCTCGGAGAATGTTCAAGATAGGTAGAGTACATGGGACATAAAAAAGTTCCTGAATGATTCGCAGAATCTAAAAATGATATACAGGGTGATCCATTTAAAAAACGAAAGGGGACCCCACATAGCCAAAAATATTTTACATAGGTAGCTCATATTCCGTAAGTAACCGACCTTTTAGGATTTTATCATAAGTCGTTCTCCATAAATGTGTAATAAGACTCTCAGCGTGAATAAACTTGTGTAAGGACCTGACAGCATGTAACTGCTGTGTATTATTTCCGACGAAAATAACGATCAATTTAAAAATGTCAGGGACATTGAAATAATCCAAAACTTTAAAATAAGGAATACTTACGAGTAAGGAGCGCATTATGGACATTAATTTTATTTTAAACACAGGCCATGTTCTTTAGAAATACAGTAACAAAATATTATTTGCTGTTATATAAAAAAAAACAATACAATTAATAATTCAACAATACCATTGATACAGTCGGATAATAGCAGCTTCCACCATATAAATAAGTAGTTACAAATATTTTTCAAAATATCCCAAAACAAGATTATGTCTTTAATCCCGAAACATATGTTCAAAAATGGAAAAACTTGCACAAGTTCTCATTGTGGAACGAATGTCTTACCCTGATCATTGGATTAATTGTTTTTGCCTAAAAGTACAATCAATGCGTGTCCAATATATCTACCGCAACGATTCGGTTGTTTCATCGACCACAAGGTAAAAATAATTTTCACTATTTTTTTTTTAACATTAAATTTACAATAGTTTGTCAAAACGTCTGAATAAATTTGTAAAATCCAAAAAACCAATAAATTTTGGGTTTACAATATTTAAAAAAAAAACAAATTTTGACAAATCTTTCGCGCTTTCGCCAAATAAAATACTTGAGTAGAACACTTCTAAATACATAAAAATTGTAAGCTACCAATAACTTGCTTAATTGCGAAATTTAAAAAAGCAGCAACCTCATTATACTAAAAAACATAATACATCTTCCTTTTTTACTATTAAATAGTTGAGTAGAAAAAATGGTTCTTATTTGGTTTCTTATCGTTGTTGCCCTTGGCCATACTTCTACTCCATATAAGGTGATATTTAGTATAACTTGGAAGATCCTTTTTTTGTATTCTTTAGTAAGAGTTATTGTTTCATATCAGTTCATGAAGTGCTCTTGTAGTTTGTTTTCCTCGTGCTATTTTTGTCTCTATATCTCTTAAACATATACCATGCCGGTGTATTGTCGATGCTAGCTAGATACTTGAAAGTTTGGCAGCTATTAATAATTTCGTCGTCTAAATTCAAATCTAAATATGCAACTTGTTGTCCATCACATAAATATTCGGTTTTGTCAAATTCTGACTTTTCTTCTTTTAAATCATCCATATATTGTTTTATTTTTTCTTTTATTATTGTGGTGAAAAGCCTTCCTTTTATATATATGGAAGACATGTATGACAAATTACATGAAAGATACGACCCTTTCTCCTCCATATTTCAACAATTCCATTTTTATATTTCCTGGTCCAGGTGCTTTATTGTTATCTGGAATTTTTTAAGGTTTTGTCATTGTTGTCTCTATGCCTTGTTGAATATATTCCATCAGAATTTGTTGCAATAACATCGAGTAGTGTTCTTTCCACTCATTAGGTGTAATTATTTGTACAAAATTCTTGTGCTTATTGTTTTGCTTTTAATTTTTTTTATTTTTTTCTCTAGTAAAACTCTTTGTTTAACGTGCTCTCTAAGGGTAACACATTCTTCTCGTGTGCTTGCTGTTTTATCGCTTAGCTATTTTTGAAAGGCATGTTTCTTCTTCTTTATCATTTCTTCTAAGCACTCACTGTATTTTTCTAAATATTTATTTTTATTTTGTTCAATTAAATGTTCAAATTAATGATCAATTTAATTGAGCCGAAAGAATAAAATATCCGAAAAATGTAAAATAAGGCATACATATATATATATATATATATATATATATATATATATATATATATATATATATATATATATATATATATATATATATATATGTATATATAACGGATTTCTACGGTACGTGCCGCCTCTCCGTCCCCAGTTTCCATTTCTTTCTATCCAGACACATGTCTTCCTCTAGCCCTCTGGATGTCATAGCTTCATCTACCTCATTCCTCCAGCTTCTTCGAGGTCTTCCACGTTTTCTTTTCTCTACTGGTACCCACTCGAGTAGGCGTTTGGGCCATCTTGTATCGTCCATTCTTTTCGTATGTCCAAACCATATCAGCTGTTTTTTCTCTATTTGTTCTATTATATTTGTGTTCATGTTCATGCTTTCCCTTATGGTGTCATTTCTTACTCTTTCCATTTTTGATTTTCTGCAGCTACGTCGTAAGAAGTCCATTTCCGTCGTCATCAATTTGTTTCTGTTCTTTTTTGTCATATCCCACGTTTCGGATCCGTATGTGATTATACTCTGGACGATGCTAGTGTATATCCGTTTTTTCGTTTCTTTTGTAATTGTTTTATCCCATAAGATCGAGTTCAACTCTCTTATAACCTTTTTACCTTTATTGGTTCTTTCCTTTATTTCATCGTCACTGCTGCCCTGCTTGTTAAGTGTAACTCCTAGATATTTACAAGTTTTTACACCTTTGAGTTTATGATTTTCTAATATTAGGTCTTCTTGATGTTCGTTCCCTACTATTATATATTCTGATTTTTCCCAATTTATTGTAAGGCCAGCAGCTTGATATTCATCTTTCAGTTTTCGTATCATATAGTTGAGATCGTCCTGGTCCTCTGCTATGACTATCTGATCGTCCGCAAAATATAAACTGTACAATGGGTAGTCTCCCACTCTCAGTCCCATCTCACTAATCTTCCTGCTCCATTTCATCGTTGTATTGTTTTCTGCGTAAATTTTGTAACTGTATAAATCTGTAAAATCCAAAAAAGCAATAAATTTTGGGTGCAC